GCTGCTCGCTAAAATAATATTATTTTCTTGACTATCACATCTTTTCTTGTATATCACATTTATGTTGTACGAAAAGTTGCAATGGTTTTTCTTATTCTTTTCTGTTTTCCTTTCTCATCTTCTCATCGCGAGATCGGTCATTTTAAATTTCCAAAAAAATCAAATTCACGCTCTTGAATATACACGCCTGAAGAAGGTGACCATTTGAACGCGTGCACATAGCACGGAATAGAACCGCACGCTGTGAACATACCGACATGTCGCTCGTGGACTGGCTGCGTAGTTCCAATGTGTACCACTCGTGAACATGCGCTAGTTTACGGGGCGGAAAAGTGGTTAAACATTGGGTGCTTTCAGACAACTCAACGGTTGAGAAATCATCGCTTATGATAGGACTATTCTTCAAAATCTATAGCGGTTCCAAAAGTATGATTCAATCAGATGTGATTATCTCTCAACCGTTGTGCAACTGTTGAGGTGTTTGAACGCACCCATTCTCTTATAGACCTGGCCGCTCTCAGGCGTCTCTTTGATAAGGACTATATGTCAAGGAAGTAACCAGGATTTTTTTCAATTTTTTTCCTAAATTTAGTGCATTAAATTGACCTTATAAACATCTATTACGTTCGCTTTTCTTGCTGGTCCATATATGGACCAGTCCCGGAGCGAAAAGGTTAACATGGCAAAGGTAGGGAACGCGCAGTTTATATATTATACGTCTATTATACGTACCGACAAGTCGTTCGTGGAAATGGCCACGTAGTTGCCAATGTGCGCACCACTATGGATATTGCGCTGGCTTTACAGAGCGGAAAAGTGAGATTACACATTTTCTTATAGCCCCACTCTCAAGGCTTCTTTCTCTCTGATTGCACCACCTAACCGAACCTCTAGGTCCAGACGTGCCAAATGCACGCCACACCTAACCATTCTGTCCTAAACAAACACGTGTTTCTAATCGTTTAAAAGTATTTTGACCTGATTTGTTCAAAAATTATGCCACAATCTTACTACGACGAAGTAGAAATTGAGGATTTCGAGTACGACGAGGACGAAAAAATTTATTATTATCCGTGTCCTTGCGGCGATCAGTTTCAAATATCTCTCGATGATCTGGTCGCGGGCGAGGAAGAAGTTACGTGTCCGTCTTGTTCTCTCGTGATCAAAGTGATTTACGACAAAGAAACGTTCCGTGCGAAACAAGAAGAGCTCGAGAAAAAAAACAAGAAAAGAGAATTGGCGATACGAAACATCTGAGGTAAAGTAAAGTTTTCAAGTGATAGTACTTATATTACATGTGACATGATTGCACAATATTGCATCACGGAATGGATAATATTCCATTAAATCTTGGGACTTGTTTGTAGCATAAAAAAATCATGGCCGGAAGAATGGGAGGACGTGGCAGAGGAAGACCCAATCAGTCTTTTTCCATGGAGAGAGAATTGGGCATCTCCAAAGGAGACTCGTTGCTGTCCACGTCGATTCTGCAACCGTCGCCTCATTATCCCTCGTTGGACTGCAAACCTCCGCCGATCAATCTGAGCGCCGAGATGAGTTACCTAGTTGAATTAAAGAGAGATTTTACCGAATACGTGCGCGAGTCGCCGAATAACGTGCAAGCTATTGTATTAAACGAAGATATCGAACGATTTTGCGAAGATTACGAGGAGACTATAGCGGAATATTACACCAGATCCGAATACGAATCAAGATACGATTGGAACAAAGTGCCCGTTGAGCTAAAAGGTTCGCACAATAAACGCAAGTCTTCTCCGCAAAAGAACGTGGACAAAAGAAAAAAGGTCGAATCGGTGGACATTCAGAAAAAACTGGAAGAGTTGGAGAAAACTGAGAGTACGCAGAAAATCAAATCGGAGAGAGAAGATAAGGAGCAGGAGGAGGAAGAGGAGGACGCGGAGGACAAGGACGTGGACGAACGCGTGAAGAACGAGGATGTGGAAATGGACGACGGGACTGATTACGCGAACGAGTATTTCGAAAACGGTGACAATTACTACAGCGAGGATGAGAACGACGACGGACCTACATTTTAATACACGAATGTGTGACATTGTCTCAGTCTTCAGATTAGTAACAAGTTTGTTTGCGTGTGAAAAACTAGTTTTTATATTGTTAGCGCATCGTGAGCAAGTTTAGATTTTTAAATAAAGAGAGAGAGAGAAACAAACAGAGACAGAGACAACCACGCGAGCCACAAGAACGTAATTCTCTGTTGCAACGATTTACTTTCGTTTTTTTCTGAGGCCTGGTTTATGCGGGCAAACAAGGCCTTGTTTTGGCCTTGTTTAGGCGGGTAATAACTGTTAATTTATGCCAGAATTTTAGAGTACAGTTCAACTATAGGATTTCAACGCTTCTGTTAATAAACAGAAATATTAAAATCTTAGGCCCGCATAAACCAGTCCCTGATTCTTTGCTACCGAGAAGAAAGAAATGAATTATTTAGATTAGCTTGCATATATAAGTTTATGCATATGCGGATATAAATGAAAACAGAGGAATGGGCACGATATGAAGAAAAACAATTCAAGAAATCACAGGAAGCGTCGGCGTGTTCTTTATTACGAGTATTTCTCAATTTTATCTATATATAATATATAATATATACTTATATATATATAATATATATATAGCCATAATAATCTGCAATTATTGTAATAAATGACCCGCCTCTATGATGCGATCAGATTAGTACAAACGCAATCGTTTGGGACAAGCGATTCGGGGGGAAAGGGAGTAAAAGGGTTGTGTTTCACAAAAATCACCGAGGTAGAAATGCGCAAAAATACCGTAGTGTTACGTAATGTTTGTTTACGCACACTTTGTAAAATCTTACGTCTCGATTTTTTTTTTTTTATATTTTGTAGATTTTTCTTTTTTATTTTTCGAAAACAAATTTCGTCGTACTAGCAAATTTATGCGCTTTGAACGGTGCGATAGATTTTTATTTAGACAAAAGAAACGCTAAATCATAGAGAGAATCTCGCTATCTCTCCCAGAAAAAAAGACACAATCGCCGATCACTCAGTTTTTTCCTTTTCAAGGCCGAGAAAATTCGTGATCGAATATCGTCGATGCGTTCGGAGATACGAATCTTTTGCGATAAGCGAACTACCGATAAATCAATTAGCTGCATGTTTTTTTTTTATCACATAATATATGTGTGAATAAATTTTGAGTCATGACGCATGCGTCGCGATTTGGTCGCAAATTGAAGAGCAAGCAATTGTGTGTGATCATTTTTATATAATGATGATTATATGGAGCTTCAAGAATTTTTAAATAATAATGAATTATGGCTATTGAAGCAGTAACACTGTTGTTGGAGTGTATATATTAAAATCCGTTTATTAACAATTGATAGTATAATAGCATGAACGCTTTCGACCCTTGTATTAGGTCCTTTTCAAATGCATTTAAATTTCTTAGATAGAAAACGTCGCTCCAATGTTGATCAAGGATATCCGCACCAGCCATCCCGACCAACACTTAACAAAGGTGAAATCGCGACTCAGTCGTTTTCTATCTAAGAAATTTAAATGCATTTGAAAAGGACCTAATACAAGGGTCGAAAGCGTTCGTGCTATTATCAATTGTTAATAAACGGATTTTAATATATACATTCCAACAACAGTGTTACTGATTCAATAGCCATAATTCATTATTATTTATCGTTTTTATACGTCGAATTTTTTTGTCGATCGATTAATATCCAAGTTGCATTTTCCAAATTGCGCACAGCGGTGTTATCGCAAACGAATCGAACTCGCGAAATAACTTGGTGCGAAATTTATTACACGCAACAGTTTTCGAACTGCAAAATAGGAAAGAGAGAGAGATAGAGAGAGAGGAGAGGATTTGTCGAAAAATTCACATCCGAATATTATATATATATATATTTATATATAATATTCGGGTGTATTATATATAATGTATACAGATTCAATCTCATTCGCATGCGTTTTCGTTGTATCAACGTGACACGCTCGTGCGGGGAGCCTCTCTCTCGCGCGCGCGCGCGAGAGGAGAGCTTTCACAAGACACCTCGTGTAAATAAAAACGAAATACAAGAATTTTTACAAGATATTATTTTTTTTCGCACACTGTGTGTGTACGAAACAACCTTGTCTGTATTTCATCCTAAAGCTCTCTCGTTAATCATCTCGTTGTCTCTTCGCCAGTTCTCGCTCTTTTCGCCAATGCCCTTGCCCGATCTTCGGGCTCGATTCTCGGAAAATTATCGCGTACGATACTTCTCTCATAAATATCACTAGAAAACTATTGTTGTTCTATAGTAATATTCACTATATAAAAAATCATATGCGATACTTTTTGAAAATCGTACTTTTTTTTGTCGTACAACCATAATATATATTATATAATATATATAGATACATATATATATATATATATATACATATATATATATTATATATATATATATATGTACTTTTTTGTATACAATCGTCGCGTTCTTGCATATATCACGACCTATCTATGCGTAAATAGGCTTTAGTCCTCGAGACCAAGGCGGTTATTTTTTTAGTCTCCGAGTTCTCGTGCGCCAGACCAAAGCGTCGATAATATTATTATCTCCTCGTCGGTGAATAAACTTTATCCTGATTGTACACGGCAATTTTTTATCTATGTTGATGATCCATCTCGGTTGTTTTGATAAATATTTGTTAAAATATGACAATTTACAAAACAGTTCGATTTTGCAAAAACGTATCTAGGGTAAAAGACCCGATTACCGTCACCTGTCCAATTACCGTCACCCTAAGCTATTTTATTTAAAATATTAAATAAATCCCAAAAAGTTATGCATGAAAACAATCTAACAGAATTTTAAGTGCAATTAATATAACGAAAAATCCAGCACTCAACATTCGCGTCTCATTTCTTTCATTGTAGGGGCGACAGTGATAGCTCTCTCGCATCGTTCTTTTTTAATTATTAAATTTATAAATAAAAATAAAGAGAAAAAAAAATTATTTTGTTAAATATATGTGTATGCATATATATATATATATATATATATTTAAGCACGTTCTCTGCACAAAAAAAAAACATCCTGCAAAACGGCTCACACAACCCGAATTTAATTCATTCATTAGTTTAAAAATAAAGAGATTTTGAGAGGCGGTATTATTTTGTTTCTTATATCAGAGACATCAAATATAATATCAGATAAAAAGAAAAACACATGTTTTTGATAAATAAGTAGTAAAAACAATTCGCTAACGCCAGAGTTGATTATTCAGGTGACAGTAATTGGGTCTTTTACCCTAACAAAAAAATTGAAAAAAATATCAAATTAAAAAAATCAATTTTACGATCGGTAATTTATACAATTCGAAGAGAATTGTTGAGTCTCTTTTTTTGAGAGAGTTGAATCATCAGCAAACTTGTGCTTTGCGCTTCGGTATCGAAAATTTTTGATGCGAAAATATAACATCCGGAAGAGAGTTTTCTCGAAATCGTATAAAAAGAAGAAGGGATTTTTTTTCTCTTTATTTTGGTACTACAATAAGGGACGGCTGGCGTGACTGCGTCTCGTGTCCACAATAGTGCGATAAGCTTTTTTTTTAAGCAGTTTCCACTTCCGGTAACGATTAATCGAGTCGCGTGTTTACAATTATAAAGCGCGAGGATCTCGTAAGGAAAAACTGAAAAACTAGTTCTATTTTAAACGGTTTGTCGTTAATAACGTCGTGTCGCTCGCGATTTTTTTATTGCGTCATGGTGTGTTCTTAACAAAGTTTATAGATAAGAGAGATAAAATACAATTCCTCGATGCGGGGATGAAAAAAATTTTTCTTATTCGCACTCCCAGTTTTATAAAATTAAAATCGGAGAGTTTTTTTTTTACTTATAATTAGTAAAAATATTCTCTTGTTTGCGGTTGCGTTTTCTATTTTTCTCGCTTTCTTTTTTTCTCTCTCGCACTTATTAACAGGATTATTATTTTTATAAGTTTATAATATAGGCGCGGGGGTTACACAGAGAAAAAATCAGTCAACGACGATTTGGCAACTCATACACTCAGCGATATATCTGAAAGAGATTTCGCAAATTCCTCCCAAAAAAAATCAATCTCAACAATTAATTTATATATAATAACTCTCTCTCATGTTCTCTTTAAAATTTTTTTTTTTTTCATTCTTACAAATCGACATTATTTATTTATTTATATACGTCGTATTTCATTAACATATATCTACTAACATCTATTTAGTAAAATCGATTCTTCTTTATGTAAAACGACGTTTTTATATTTTTCAGATTATCGTGTTTTTTTTTTTTTTCTCTCTGGAAACTTTCACACTTTCGCACAATTGCGAGGCAACGTGTACAAACGTGTCCAGCACGCTAAGTTTTCGCGACGAAAAGTTTGTCCTTTGCTAATAATCGATAAGAATTTTTTTTATATTTTTCAACAACAATAGTCCAATAATTTTTCCACAGTAGTTTAACGGAAAAAAGATGAGACAAGAATGTACGTAGAATATATACTTCGTGTGTTGCGTAATATTCTGCTCAAAAGAGCTAAAACAGCCTTTTTTCCACAGCTTTTCTTTGTTTATATTCTAATCGTAACAATATTGAAATACGAGGCTAAATAGGATAAAAAAAAAAAAAAGCGAAGCGTGTATCTTCAAAAATGAGAATAGCGTTCATTCGAAGCACGCACGTATATAATTAACAATATACGTATATAATTAAGCTAATTTAATTTATAATCGCACGAATCTCGCGACACGATCCAATGGCCAAGATACATTGGAATTGTTTTGAGATATCGTTTTATTTTTTTTTTTATCAATTGAACGATATTTTATATAATATAGTTCGTCTTAAACGTGCGCGTAGAAATGAATCTGCAAATTGGAATAAAAATAATTAACAAAGATATTAGATGTGCATATGTAATATTGCCTTCAAGTATCGCTCGCTTGGTCGTTTCGAAAAGGTGAGAAAAACATTTTTTCTCACACGAATCTCGCGCGATATTTTGACATTTCAAAACCACCAGGACAATCTCAGGCTTCTGAACTCGGACGGGCAGTGTAAAATTTGCGAGGTGCTGCTTCGGACAATGTTTATAAGCGTGGGTGTGCAAAGCCTTAATATATGTGTATATTTTTGTATCGATAGCGTTTCTCAACGTCGGATAATTCAAAAACGTTTAACGTGAAATATAGGAAATGAGGAAAGAGAACTGTTTTCTGTGTTTTGGTTTCGTATATATATAAAAGTCACGTGTCAATCGAAATTAAATATAATTTTTTTAAATAATAAAATTACACATCGCATAATAAATAATCTTGGCTTTTATAAACTATAAACTAAAAAGAAAATAACACAAATCTTTCAAGCCAGCGGCACACGATGCTTTTTTTTTGTTTGCTTGCGAATGCCAGGATTGACCGCACCGTTATTTAAAAAAAAGAAATTGTCACATTGCTGCGACGCTCGTACGCGATTCGGCAAAAAGCATCAAAGTGTGCCGCTGACTTAAGAGCAATTTCCTTGTTATAAAAATTAATGTGTGAATGCGAAGCTATCGATACGTTAATCTAAATGCCGAAAGTGAATGTTTTCGCGACGAAGGGCGCAATAAAAGTGATAATCAAATGAATTTTTGAGGAGAAATGCAGCTCCAGTTCTTTCATCATCATCGACACAATATTAATAATAAGTGTCCGTGTCTGTTGATGAAACAATCGGTGACGATGATAAACAATAGAATCTAAAAATCTACAACAGATGACGTGAAAAAAAGAGAAAGAAAAAATATTTTTTTTTTGAAGAAACTTTTATAAAGAGATGCTCGAAAATTGCCTTAATCTTTTAATTGCCATAATTTTTTGTTTAGATGTTCTTTGGATCGCATTTTTTTTTTTTTTTTTTGAAAATGTTTCTTGTGTAATTCTCTTCTCGGGAAAGATTACCGACATGGTTTTGTTTCTTTACGTCGTACTGAGAAAAAAAAAATTGAATTTTCATGAATCGGCGTCGCATGAACTTATTCTACTTGTAAATATTTATTTAATATTTTTTTTTTGTTCTTTTTGTTATTTACTTTTCACACAGTGGTTTGCTAACAAATTCTTTAACATTGAATAAGAATATTTGATCTTCACGCGTTACAATCGCAATACTGAAAGCCAAAAGGCAAAGGTACAAAAAGGATAACACTCTCGCTTAATAAAATCTGCCACAATTCTAATTCTATGTATCAAGTAAAAGATATTATTTTTATGGGTGAAAAATTAGGCCGAATTCTTATGGATTTTTTGGAGGGAAGCGCTACTGTGCGATCGTGCGAATATAATATGCTCCACAGTACTTCTCAGATTTTTTCGTGTATCTTCTATCTGCTGAATTATAAAAAATCATAACTCGAATAAATTCAAAAATGTTTTAAGTGACCAAAATATATATACATATATATATATATAATAT